TATTGCCTCTGGACATCTCTGAGGACATTTGAGTTCTCGTACGACATACTGTAGTCTTGATGGCTGTGGCTGCGTCGATAATCATCATATTTGACTATTAGCACTGGGTGTCCTACAAACCAAGTGCTTCAGTACTTGGACCCTTCGGGTTCTTCGGCAGGCTTGAGGTGCGCAGTTCCGCTGTCTGCGTGGGGGACGACCTGATGTGCTTGCTGGTTGTTGGTGGAGGATGAGGGAAAGGAACGGACATGAAAACTGCTATGTCTAGGGTCTGGGGTCCACGGTTTAAGGAATGGACACAACATGAAGCTACTATATTACTCTATTTGAGGATTGTACATCGGCTACTCTAGGGATCCATTGCCACGCTCCCTACTAACCCTAAGGGTCCAAGTACCTAATAATCATGTCCTTCCTCATGACCTGTACTACAATATCCATTTCCCAAAACCATGTACCTAATTATTGGGTACTTGGACCCTAAACCCTGTATACCCTCATATACCCTTATATATCACCTTTAAAGGGGACCTAATTATTGGGTACTTGGACCCTTTGAGTAACAACCAGTGAGGGTGTGCAGGCAAGTCTTCAGGCCGCAGAGCCCTCTGAGCTTTTGGTTGTTCGCTTGTCCACTGCTGTTGCGTCGAAATCATAATCCTAAGGGTCCTAATAAGGCGCTAGTGTACCCAAAACCCCAATATTTGGGTACCTGGAGCCTTAGGGTAATATTGCACCCAAGAAGCCATGTACTTCTACTATAGAGAGAATATGTGTAAGTGTCCATGTGTGCGAGTACACGGCCCATGGTTAGGATATCCAGGCTGCCATGCTCCGATGGTTTGGGAGTGTCAGGTAAACATCCGTGCTGTAAGGGTAGTTCAAAACATCCTTTAGAGGGTCTCGTCACTCTCTACAAGAATTGCTGCTGGCTGCTAGTGCGGTGGATAACCTAGAGCAACGGCAAGGATATGAGAATGTGGTGTGGTCAAGGCTTCCCAATCCCTGAAGTTCCTAACGGAAGCCTGCTTCATTGAGACTTGGTTACCATGCCTAGAACCGACGATAGCAAGAAACCGGCTTGGATCTACGGGAAGTATGTGAGTCAGAGGTTTAGCATGAAGTGCTAAAACCCCATCCGCCACTGCATTGTTCTGATTTTTTGTTGGCGACATTCAGGTCACTTGGCGCAGGGGGGTATGGTTATCGGGATCCTTCTGGCTGCAGGTTTGGGAAAGGGATGCCCGACTGGCACATCCACTATGAAGAGTCGCTTGCAAAACACCTTCGACCCCAAACCCTGACCCTAAAAGTCCCAGCCCCAAAATACGCAGAACCTAAACCCCAAAACCACAGCCCCCAACAGCTGCTTGGACGTTCATGGTTTCCTATACGTCGTGTGTGATTGTCAGAAGGATCTTCATAGGCTTTACCTAAATTGTCTTACTTGAAGGTATCCACGAACCTGCAATAAGGAGCTGGTCGTCCTGGCACACAAGACAGCCCTGGCCATGATATGGGTGCAGACAACGCACCGACCAGCTTTGGGAGACTTATTCAAGCCAAGCATTTGCCGAGGGCCTTGAGCCACAGTAGTGATGCGTTGGGCTATTTGGGAATGATGAGGTTCTTATTGTTGGGAAATTTTCAGGTTTCCGTGTCTTCTCAAGGAAGTCATGGTGGTGGGTGTCGGGTGTAGAAGGGTACGTAGGGTTCTTCCCATCTCCAATTTCCAGAGGCCTTGCCGTCGAACAGGACGCGTGCATATGTAGCCCTGGGATTCGGAAGGTCCCCCTACTTGAAGAGCGCCGTTACTTCAGAGGTCTTACGGAGCCCCGGGATTTTTTTAGGGGTTTTTGGGCGTTAGTATGGGGGGTCAGGGGGCATTGATTCGGAGCATCGTTGGTGCACTTAGAGACCGTATCAGGGTGTACAGGCGATCCCCCAGCCTTGCAATGCTCTATGAAACCTCCCTTGACATGATAAGAGGATTTGGTCGCCCCAACAGTTATGGGTCATAATGTTGGGGGATGTGGCAACCAAAACGCTCTTGTCAGAACATTTCAGCCTTGGCCAAGGACTGCAGTTGGCTCTTGCATTGTGTGTCTGCTACTTCACCCTGTCGTTGGCCGTGCAGCCGTACCGACATAGAGGCCCTGCGGCTTATCCTGGGAGGCTCAAGTATCAAATTTGTGGAATTTTGATCCACACCTCCAACTCCGACACTTTGGGCCCCTAGTCCAGTTATTTGAGGGTTTCACTGGGGTCTGACGGATATAACAGAAGGCAGATGTTCTGGTGTCTGATGTCCCTTGCTCATAACGGCTGCAATCCCCTTCATTCTCTACTTCTTCTCGATGGGTGAGAAGGCAACTTCCCGTCTTATAGCTCAAGGCTTTAAAGTGCTGGCTTAGCAAGCATGATAAGACATGATAAGACTTGTGTTTGCAGACACGAGTGGCAAGGGAATTTCAGATGGCACCACACTCCTAACAAGCGCTCAACAACCGCAAACCCACATTAGAACACTTGAAGCTGCACTTGCAGTTTGCCAACACATTGTCAATACCCAAATGAAAGCCTGACAAACAAGGAATCC